AATTGTGTCACTCTTGTTGAATCAGAATCCTACTTGCTACGTAAAGGTTCAAGTCATAGACACCTTTGCTTATGCACAATCTTAGAAACGTCTGACGTTACCTCTAAAATCACCTTTTAAATTCAAGTGGGGGATTGTTGGAAATCTTGGAATGATGATAACTTGGATTGGGAATTGGAATGATTCATTGACATTAAATGGGCAATAAATGAGCACATGAATGAACTAGTTTGTGAGTGAATTTGAAAGGATTCATTTTAGTCCCACATTGGAGGGAACACAACTTCTAGTAGTGCATAAATACTCCAACTTGGACATTTGGGTTGGGCCCCAAGGGGCACCCCAATTTTGTTAAGGAGTGAGGACACACCACTAAGTCATCTAGACACACACGCGCGTGCGCCGCCGCCGTCCGTCCGACCGGCCGGCCGGCTCGGCTCGGTTCGGTTCGGTTCGGTTCGGTTCGGTCTAGATGAATTAACTTTTTGAACCGGATTTTGGTGAAAAATTAATTATTAATGATTATTAATAATTAATTAATTCGGTGGAATTAATTAGCATTAATTAATTAAAAATAGTGGAAATTAATTAATATTTAATATTAATTAATTACGGAATTAGTGACGTGTCAATTACTTGCCTTCCAAGAGTCAAAACGCATGACTGCATCACTGTCTGACCAAGCAATAACGGTCACTTTTGACTGGGCCAATTCCACCCTCTCCCACGTTCTTCCTACTTTTTCGAACCGTTTTGTTGGATCCGTGCTTATTTCATTTGCAAATAACTCCAGAATTCAAAATCTCGATTTCTCTCTTCTCTCTCTCTACTCTGCTTCATCTCAAGTTTTTTTTTTCTTTTCTATTTTTTCGACTGCTTCTTGCTAGATACTACGAGTGGTTTCTACACCATCAGAAGGTGTTATTCATCGAACGATTTATCACAGTGCAAGTGATAATCGTATTTTATTCGAACGGGCTGTTTTATCCTGGAGACGTCGCCTATTATCGACTGCCTTGCACTTTGTTGGCATCCGGCGAAACGTCTTAAAGAAAGCGTACTGAACCGCGACTCGACCCGATAAAATTCTCAGTGGCTATTCTTGTTTTCATTAATCCGTGTTCAACAGAAAATAATATCAATTTAAAAGGAAATAATCAATACAAAATAAGGTTAAGAACAAAGAAAATGATGTTTTTGAAAGATGAACAAATCACATGCCAACTCGCTTGTTTATTCTTCTCTGTGTCCTTGTTTCTACTTCTTTAATTTCCTAGCATTTACTAATATTCTATTATAAAGGAAGGTGGGAGAGATAGGATTAATGGTTAATGTGGTGCTCACATGAGATCTTAGGTGGTAGAGATCTTTCTTGTTTATAGAGATTCTTATTTTTGAGGGTTTTATGTCTCTGCTTCAAAATGTAACTTTTCTCTAGATAAAGATGAATTTATTTGGAAGCATGATATGAATGATACTTTCTCAATGTCTCCGCTTATATTGTTCAAAGGTTTTTGTTTGATCTCTCTATCGGCTCCTATTCCAGAAGAAAGATGTATCATCTCGCTTATTTGGATTGATTGGGCTCCTTCTAAGGTCTTTGTTTTCTCCTAGAATTTTTGCAAGATAGACTACCATCTAGAGATAATCTATTTGGCTGAGAATATGGTGTAGGAAAATAGTCTAGAGAGGGGTGAATAATCTTTTTTAAAACAAATCAACAAATTTTTTGAAATCGAAGTATCAAAGGTTTTTTAAAGTATGTGCGCAGAAGTTTTAGAGCGAAATATAGAGAATTATATTTGAAAAGGAATTAATACACAAAAACATGTATTCAATGTACAACAATTACAAATTGAATTTTTAATGATACACTAGGTATTCAATCTATACCACAATATAATTCACGAGAGATGATTATATAATGATTCAATTTACGAATTCTAAACTCAACATGTTTCTCAGATTTTAATCACTACAAAAGCTTGAATAGGTCCCAATTCCAACAAAACCTAATATAAAGCAATAAATCGATATCAATGCAATAAATAATAAACTAATCTATGAATGAAAAACCTAGGCATGCAATATACTACAAAATGTAAATGAAAGAGTAAAAGGTAGAGAGATGACACGTGGACTTATAGTGCTTTGACTTTGACGTCCTCGCGTGAGTCTACGTGCACTTTTGAAAGTACCTGCTTATTTCCGTTAGTTTGACAAATATTCAAAGAGTTTATTCAATCACTTATCCACAATAATGTTGAAGAAAATAAAACTTCAATTCTAGATCTTGACTTGTATACAGCTTCACGCCAAACTCTTTTGCACAATCTATACTCGATCGATCCTTCAAAAATCTTCTAATATCACCAATTATACTCCAAGCCTTTGTCTATAGCAACCAACCCTTTGAACCTACTGATTCCTTGAGCGGTGAATTATCTGAATATTTGAGAAGAATCATGCCTTATCCGTAGCCTTCCACAAAGTCACTACTAAGGCAATCTGGAGAGAAGAACCTCCTTCTTTTCATTGGAATTTGTCAGCACCAGCGACAACTCTTCAATCTTGCAATAACATGAACAATCTTTAAACAGACTCCAGGAATAGTTAGTTTCAAGATATCCTCTCTCCCAATCAATCACATATCTCTCATGATCAATATCTAAAACACAAACTGAGGTTGAAGAAGAAAAAAATTCAAGTTCAAGAACTTTGAACTTTTTAAAGTGATAGATGATTTTACATAAAACCCATAAATGAATATGAAATTACTCACTTGAAAAAGTGTTGACAAAAGGTTTTACATGTGCTTGAGTTTAAACACAAAAATTAGTGATAAAACTTGGTTAGATTCGAATCAAGAGCAATGCATGTAATGAGTCAAGTGAGCAAGTGAGTTGAATGAAAATATTTAGATTTTTGACCCAGTTTTCAGTTGCTTCGAATCAAGTGCAGTGTATGATTCAAATTAGAGACATTGTGATTCGAATCATGTTCAAAATCGGATTCGAATCAAATGCTCCAAGCCCTTAGAAAATGCTAAAAAAACAGAGTGATTCGAACCATGTACAAAGTGTGATTCGAATCAAATTGGGCAGAGGTGACATGAAATTGTCTGACTCGAATCACGTGTAAATCCTGATTTGAATCAAATGATTGTGAAAAGTTTTGTTCACCTCTGTTGGATTTTATTCAAATCAAATTAAGTGTGTATTTGATTGATTCGGATGAAACATCTCAAAACTCAATTTTTCATTATCTTAAAGGTTTTTCTTTGCACCTAACTTGAATGAAACACATATAGTTTTTATTCCATAAACTCATGCAATTGACTAAAGACATCTTGATTAAATTCAAACGTAACCATTATATTATGCATGCTAAAATGATAATGAATCCATTTCAAACTTAATTCAAAAGATGTTCAATTATCGGGAAGACTCAATAAACAAAAGCGATAAGACAAGCAACAAAATAACTGTATCGGAGATGCTCTCCTAGGAATATGCAGCTACAAATCTGTCTAAGAGGGAAGTGATTGTTGATCCCTGCAGAATTTTTTGTCTCTTGTGTGGGTATTTGGTTGATACGATTTCGCATCTCTTTCTTACTTATGAGTTTGCCTTGTTTGTCTGATTTGAGTCTTTACGTGGTTGGGCTGGCAGGTAGTTATCCTTAATGACCATATCATTATGTTTGAGTATTTTCTTTCTTTAGAGGATAAAATTAAATATATGGATGATTATCTTTTGATTTGACACACTATATTTTTATCCATCTGGAAAACCTGCAATGATGACATTTAAGACAGTCATAAAATCATCAAAAGAGATAGAGGAGAAGAGTATTCTTTTGGCCTCAAAATGGTTTTCGGGGAGATTAAGGATGAACTTTTGTATCTTCACTTAATGACTTTAAAACCCTATCCTCTACATTCACCTATAACAAATCGAGTATTTACTTTAGTTCTAAGGTAGGTTTTAGCATTTGGTTTTGTTGGTGTTCTTTAAATGAAATTTGATTCATTACTTGTGGGTTTGGTTTGAGATCTAATTTGTTGCCAACAAGGTGAATTTTTCGTTCTTTGGGTCTTTTTCGTGGAGTTCCCTTGGTTTTTGAGTTAATTAGATTATTGTGTTGTTAATGTTTTTTTTTTGTTTTTTGCTCTGGAACAATATTTGACACTTTAGTGTTTTGTACTATCTTTGCTGTACTTTAGTATTTTTCCATCATTTATTAATATATTATTATTACCTTTCAAACAAAAAATGAATTTACTAAATTAAACGAGATCACAATATTGTTAACTATACCTACACCTATGATTATGATGATGGATCATCACACTATAAAGCCCAATAAAAAAAGTAAAAATCCATAACCACACACTAAAAAAAAAAAGAACATTATACAATTTTAAAAGAAAACAATATAAACTTTTAACATAACAATTATTACAAATAAATCAATAATAATTAGAGAATTTTTATTATAATTTAGTTCAAAACTTTCATATTGGTTCTCATAAGCTCCCTAATATAATCAAGAGTTACACAGTTTAGTTGTCATTGTGTGAAAAACTTTCTTACCTTGTTTAATAAACATGCACCAATTTCATCCTTCAATGGTTGAATAGGTAAATGACCTATTATTCTCACAATAGCCAAATGGTATATACTATCTTTTTTTATGGCATAATATATAATATCCACAAATCTCTAATTATTTATTTTTTAAATGTCTTATGAAGACCATTATAAATAGTTGCACATTGTATTCCTATTTTACTACATATACTCTTAGTTGATTAAGAATGAAGAACAAGCTCTTTATATTCATGTTCTTTCTTTATGCACTAATGATTATTTCTGTTATAGCATTCGAGCCTTCTAAATATGGAAAGAAATGTATATTATATTAATTGCATGTGAAATATCTTTCTTTCATATATAATGTTTAATAAAACAAATATTTGTTGATTTACAGATAATGCAATGGAAGAATTCAAAACAAATATTGAGATAGAAGAACAAATGAGAGGAGACTCTTTCAATTGGAGGAAAAGCATTCCAAAACATAAAAAGAGTTTTGGAGGAGGAAAATTAGGTGGATATGGCTCTGGTGGATCGAGTCCAGGAAGTAATGGTGGTGAAGGAGGTGCACAGAATATAGTTGAACAAAATGGAGATGAAAAAGACAAAGAAAGTGAACTTGAATGAAGAGGAAATAAATATTTGATGACTAAGGAGGTAACCTAGATAACTAAAATAGATAGTTTTCTAAGGAAGCTATTTTGTTTTTATACTAGTAAAATACTTGTGTGTTCGTTCGGATAAATAAATTATGTATTGTGTGTTTGTATTGAAATGCAATAAGATGAATACAATAAATGTGTATTTAGAATAAGTAATGCAAATGTAGGTTATAAATTAAAAACAATAGAGAATATATTATAAGAACTAATAAAATATTATTAAAATGGTTTTGAAACTACAACAACTTTATGATATACATTGAGTAGAATATATGAACCTATAAGGTAATTGAGTTGTGAATTAGGAGCTTAGTAATTTCATGACAACATGATAGATAGCAGTTTGATGTTCAGTTTGATTTATTTACATATCAGTTTGGAAAATGATATTTAAAGATCCATGGAAATTGGATTGTAAAGTGGATATAGTAAACATAATAGACAACATTAAAATGGAACTGAATAAGCTTGTAGCATAGTAGATATTTGTAGTAGCAACAAAGATGTTTTCTTCATTAGATGTTTGAATACCAGTATATATTGTATAGCAGTTTGAATAATAGATTGATTCATTAGCATATTAGTGATCTAATTATATTTGTGTCATTAGATTTTATAAAAGATCTCTGTCGAAATTTCACTAGTTGTTTGAATGTTTTGTTAATTTCATTATATGTTTTATATATAAATAATAATGATAATTAATATATAGTATGTTTGACATAAATGTTGATTGTGTCGAAAGTGAAATAGATTTTTGTCATTAGGTGGTCAACACATTAAAATTGTTGTGAAACACGATGTCTTTGGAACAAAGAATAACAGGTTTTTTTATTAGAGGGAAATCTTCAAGATTAGAAAAGATGATAAATAAGATTAACAACAAACCTTCAAGGGTAGAAAAGATGATAAACAAAATTAACAACAAAGAATGGTTATTAACTGTTATTCTTTACTTTCTTTTAAACTAACATTACAAGTACACAAGAATAACAAATAACCCTCTCACCCTAAATTAAGATTTACATTACATAATGATGAGAGACTAATATGCTATTTATAATAAACCTAACATACTAGACTAATAGGATATTTCACAAATACCCATTATAATCTAACTTAGAGTACAAGTTAACTTAAACAATTGGACATAACAAATAGACCCAATTCGAAATACTAACAACCCTAGTATTTCGACACCAACATACTAGAACACACTTCGACTACAGTATGTAGGTTTTCGACACTAGCATGTGAACATATTTCGACGACATGCATAAATTCTGTCGAACCAGAAGCTACTCTTCGACCCAATAGAGTTCGATCTAATATCTCACAAATATCCACCTTGTAACAAACTCTAATATCAAAGAACAAACTAGCTTTCTTCATCCATCTTTATCAATTGCATACAGTGGAAAAACATACAACTTTGGAATGTCTTGGTGTTGTTATCATGAAGAGATTTCATCTCATCATCCATGGTCTTCAGTCATTCAGTCTTATTTCGACTCCTCATAACTTTCTTATGGTCTCTAGGTTCTTTGTCTAGAACCTCACTTGTAGAGTTTAAGGCATAAGCTATAAGATCTGCATACCTAAGTCTGTGAGGAGGCTTGATGACTCTTCTCGTCCCATCTCTTGCTAATAGGTAGTCATTGAGAGTTTCCTTAACTTTCTCAACATCTTCTGCTTCTTCTTCAATTTTATCCAGGATACGCAATTCAGCATCAACATGCTCCACCTTAACAGGAATTTCTCCTTGTTCCAGCTCTTCATCATATATTTCTGCACTTCGATCAACATCATCAGTTTTCTTTAAAGTCATTTCAGCTTCATTGAAAACTATATCTCGACTGGTGATAATCCTCTTGTGACCTGGCTCTAGGCACCGTAGCCTATAAGCTTTGACTCCTTCAGGGTATCCCATGAACATGCATTTCAGAGCTCTAGGTTCGATCTTTTCTTGCCTAATGTGAGCATAGGCTATGCAGCCAAATACTCTCAGTTTGTCGAGATCTGGTGGATGTTCCGACCAAACTTCTTCAGGTGTCTTTATATCTAACACAGTCGAAGGATATCTGTTTATCAGATATGTTGATGTCGAAATAGCCTCATCCCAAAAACATCTTCTTTAACCTAGCACTAGTCAACATGCATCTAACTCTTTCCGAGATGGTTCGATTAAACCTTTCAGCCAAACCATTTTGTTGTGGAGTACCTGTAGTAGTTTTGTGCCTTGCAATACCAGAGGAAACACAAAAGCTGTCGAAAGCCTCATTACAAAACTTAAGGCCATTGTCGGTTCTCAACCTATTGACCTTTCTACCAGTTTGATTTTCGACCAGAGTCTTCCAACTTTTGAAATTCTCAAAAGTTTCATCCGTAGTCTTTTGGATGAATACCCATAACTTTTAGGAATAATCATCTACTATGGATAGAAAATACCTTGCTCATGAATATGATGGACACCTTGCAAACCTCCAAAGACCAACATGGATGTAATCAAGGGATCCATGTGTTCTTTGTTTTCCTTTGTTGAACTTCACTCTACAAGATTTTTCAAGTATACAGGGTTCACAAAATTTCAGCTTTTCGACTATGTCTCCTGCAAGCAAATTTTGTTTCCCTAATTCAACCAGACCTCTTTCACTGACATGGCCCGATCTCATGTGCCAATTTTTTGTCTTCGAAAAAGGTTTCGTGGATACAATATTTGTCGAATCACTTACAACTCCAGCCTCAAGGGTATACAAGCCTTGCTTCTTCACGCCTCTCAAGACTTCCTTCGACCACTTCATGACTCTTAGGATACTTTTCTCTTTTTGGAAAACATATCCTTTCTTGTCGAATTCACCAAGAGAAATCAGATTTCTCTTCAAATCAGGTACATACCTGACTTCAGTCAACAACTTTATTGACTCATCATGGAACTTGAATCTCACTGATCCAACACCTTCAATCATGCAAGCTTTATGGTTTCTCAGCAATACAGACCCACCATCTTGATCACATAGCTCTTCGAACAAGTCTTTGTTTGGAGTCATGTGCCAAGTGCATCCAGAATTCATAACCCACTCCTTCGACGAGTTATTGCTCGAAACCACAAGAACATCATATGAGTTGAAATCATCTTGAACAATGGATGCATTTCCATTATCCTTACCTCCATGATCTTTCATGCGTTCAGGACACACCTTTCTTGTGTGACCCTCCTTCTTACAATAATAGCATCGAATACCAGATGCTTCACTACTATAAGACTTATGCTGACTTTTACCATTCTTCTTGTAGATATTACCATCCTTTCGCAAGAATGTTCCCTTAACGGCCAAATCTCCCCCAACCATCAAAGGTTTATTCTCTTTTCGTTCGTTCAAGTCCTTAGAATACAAGGCTAATTGAGCTTCTTCAAAGTTCAAGGACTCCCTTCCATAAAGAGAGTTTCTTTGAAGTGAGCATGTGTTCTGGGCAAAGAGCACAATAGCAACAATGTTCGATCTTCATCATCGATCTTCACATAAATATTCTCAAGATCAAGAATCAGCTTGTTGAACATATCCAACTGCTCAGCCAACACTTTGTCTTCAATCATCTTGAATAAATACAAGGCTTGCTTCAGGTAGAGTCGATTTACTAGCGATTTGGTCATATACAAACTTTCAAGTTTCACCCATAATCTTGATGTCATCGTCTTCTTTGATACATGTCGAAGAACCTTATCACCAAGGCTCAACAAGACTGCGACGTGGGCTTTCTCTATCATGGTCGTCTTTTCCTTTTTCGTTAACGCAACATCCATGGCCACCACTCCCTTCAACGCTTCCAAACAACCATGCTGAACTAGTAGGGCTTTCATCTTCAAGCGCCACAGACCAAAACCCTTCACTCCGGTGAACTTTTCAATCTCATACTTTGTTGAAGACATCTTCTCCATTCTCACTGCACCAATTTGTTGTGAAAAGTATGCCTTAGAAACAAAATACAATAGGTTTCCTTATTATAGAGAAACTTTCAAGGGTAGAAAAGAAGATAAATAAGATTAATAACAAACCTTCAAGGGTAGAAAAGATGATAAATAAGATTAACAACAAGGAATTATTTATTAACTTCTATTCTTTACTTTCTCTTAAACCAAGATTACAAGTACACAAGAAAAAAAATTACCCTCTCACCCTAAATTAGGATTTGCAGTATGCAATGATGAGAGACTGGTATGCTATTTATAATAAACCTAACATAATAAACTAATGGGGTTTTTCACAAATACCCATTATAAGCTAACTTAGGATACAAGCTAAGTTACACAATTGGACATAACAAACAGGCCCAATTCGAAATACTAACAACCCTAGCATTTCGACACTCACATACTAGAACACGCTTCGACTACAGTATGTAGGTCTTCGACAACATTATGTGAACATACTTCAACGACATGCATAAATATTTTCGAACCATAAGCTCTTCGACCCAATAAAGTTCGATCCAATATCTCACAAAAATGATGTGGGACATTACAAAAGATAGACATAGAACACATAAATTGAATTTTATCAGCATTAGTACATAATTGATTCAATATGTTAATACATTTAAATGATGTGGAACATTACAAAAGATGTTGCAAAGACAATAAAAAAGTAAGTGGTTTGGGAAACTACATATCACTCTTTCTTATAGTGTTTAACTTTTGTGGCATACAATTTGGGTATTAAATACAAGGTTGCAGAAAGATCATCCTACCCAATGGTAGAAGTATCCATGTTTTATGGGTTAGTCGTTGAACTTGTTTTAGAGATACTTAGATTAGTAGATTGGCTATGGTGGAAACAAGAAAACACATCTGACAATTAGGTTACGATATAACAATTTTATCATTTAACAATGAATAGAAAATCCATATTTACAAATAAAATACCAAAGGTTGGTTGAGTTGATCAGTTGGAATTGTTGGTAGTCTTT